CCTGAAGGTGGTACGACCTGAACCCGGTCCAAAAACAAAGCATAGCATTGGAAAAGGCAGAGAGCAGCAGCCAGGTTGTGCAGTGGATAGAGCCCTGGCTCTGGATTCAGGAGGACTGAGTCCAAATCTGGCCTCAGACACTTACTAGCTGTGTGACCCTGTGCAAGTTACAATCCTGTTTTGCCTCAGTTTCCTCATCTGTAAAATGAACTGGAGAAGGAGATGTATCTTTGCCAAGAAAACCCTAAACAGTGTCATGAAGAGTCAAATCTAACTGAAATGACAAACAGCAACAACGAAAGTGATAAATAGTGATGGTGTGGGTGACCAGCTGTCGTGAAGGTAGTGGTGCTGATTCTGATGATGGTGATAGTGGTAATAGTAGTCATAGTTATGTGACCCCAGTGATGATATCTGGTGGTGATGGTGGTGGTAGTGAGAATCATGATAGGGATGAAAGCTGGTGGTAGTAGATAGCTAAGCATGATGATGGTAATAATGATAATGGTAGTGATAGTGGTGGTGGGGATGGGGATGGGGATGGGGATGATGATAGCAACAGTGATAATGGAGATGATTCGATAGTCATAGTGATCATGGTAGTAGTTATTATGATGTAGATAGGGATAATGGTGTTGATTCTTTTGTTTTTGGAGACTGGACCTCCCTATCTAGACAGGGCTAGAAGTAGAACAGCAACTCATGGGCCCAATCTAATGCTTGTTGGCATGGAGGCCTTGACCTGCTCCATTTTGCTGGTGTGGGCCATTTTCCCCTTCCTTGTGGAGCCTGGTAGCTCTCCACCACCAGGCGCTCAATGGTAGTGATATTGATGGTGGTGGTAGTCTTGATTAATGTTTTTGGACTTTTGTCCAAGGATCATTTCTTTTTCCTCCCATGTTTCTCTCTGGATTTCTGACATACATACCACTACAGCTACTATATAACCATCTAATATCTACCCCCTACCTCCAGGGCAATCCACGCTGTGGGTCCTGAGATCAATCTATTCCCCAAAGCCAGGCAATCATTGTATAGACCCAGCACAATTGGCTTGACCCCAGGATACACATTGATTACAACTTTTATCTCTCAGGGGATCTGGGTATTGTAGCATTTATCCAAATTACAGAAAAGCAGCTTCCTCTGGGGGAAAGATCTTGGAATATTGGACACGCTGCTAAGAGTTGTCTCTAATCAAAGACAGATATAATGCCCTCTGACCTGCTTTAATCCAGCCCTATTTAGCTTCATTTGGTTTCTTTATATAAGAAAGCTCACAGTTTCTAAGCTGACTTGCCTTTTGTCCAATGAACTCTCATTTTGCAGCAAAGTATATCACTGAGGCTCAAGAAAGTGAGGTTCAAGAAGTTGGTAAGGCTCCAGATAAATTCTTTACTGAGTTTTTCCCAAGGAAAGAGTTCTCATTCTCTCTCATTCTCTCTCTCTCTCTCTCTCTCTCTCTCTCTCTCTCTCTCTCTCTCTCTCTCTCTCAGCTAGGCAATCAGGGTCAAGTGACTTGCCCAAGATCACACAGCTAGTAAGTGTCAAGTATCTGAGGCCGAATTTGAACTCAGGTCCTCTTGACTCCAAGGCTGGAGCTCTATCCACTGTGCCACCTAGCTGCCCCTAGAGTTTTCTTTCTCAAAAGAGTGAGTATGACTATGGCCTTTCTGTAAACCATTATGGCCTAGCTGAGCTACTGCACAAAAATTAACTTCACTTCCTAGAAATAATAAGGAAAGTGATCCTGATATCCTAAGTGAACAAGGAATGTGCTCCTGATGTCCTAAATGGTAAAACTTTTTATGTTCTCTATACTCCGAATGTTTCAAATATGACCTTCTTTACCTGCTCTTTCTCAAAACGGTATCACCAGAAGAAAGAGGGATGGTTGCTCTGTAAGTAAGTGAGATAGAGGTAAAGGGTCTCACTGGAGTTTGCACAACAAATCACAGATGAAACTCAAATGAAAAACTTATATCTCTTAACTCTCAGCCAATGGCTTGCTTTCTTCTATAACCTATCTCTCCATTCCTCCAATTCTTTCTGATCCTGCTAAAGCACCCACCTTGGAAACTTCCTTTGATCGGCTCTCCAAGGCTTTGGTCTTCTCAGAAGAGAGATTTCTAAGTCAGAATCACCCATCCGATGCCTTTCTTCATGGAATTTAAGTAGCACAGACTGGTACAGGGACATCACAGATAGAGTGTCCATCTATTTCACTTCACTTCCCTTTGTTCACTCCCCATCCCAGCCAAATTGACCTGCTAGTGGTTTCTAGTATCTAACATTCCATGTGCAAGTGATCCCTCAGGTCTGTTATGAGCTCCCTCTTATCTCTGACTTTTAGAATCCCTAATTCCCTTCAGATTGCACAGATCAGGTTTCATCTCCTAATCTCTCCAATTATAAGTGTTCTCTCCCTTTTGAAATTGTTTTGCATATGTTTTGCATTTACTCAAATGTGTACATTTCATCTCCCTCATAAAATGAAAGTTCCTTATGGACCGTTTCTTTTTTTCTCTTTACATCTCCGGGTTCTAGCTTGGTATCTTGTATATAATAAGTACCTAATAGATGTTTGGTGGGTTGAATTGAGGTGATATTTGTCTGACTAATGAGAAGCTAGGGAGAGAGGTTACTCAAAAGTGACAAATTTGGGTCATTTGGAAGTTAAGTTTCAGTTTTCCACCAAAAAAAAGTAGGTTTCTCAGCCCCACTCCTGGCTCAATTCGGTATAGCTAGTTTGTTCTGGCATGAATATGTAAATATGCAAATTGTCATCTCTACATGTTGACAAACTTGACAGCCAAAGCAAATCTCTGGATCTGTGACACTGCTGAGGAGAAATGATTTAACAACTGCAGTCTCCAGAAGGAAATATGATGGAGTGAGCCCATGACTATAGTCACAATCAGAGCTGTAAAACAAGGGCTTTAGCTAAAGGGATCTGTAATTATGCTGTTACCAGAAGAAACACCATGGGCATGGGAGTTATTATGTATGAGGAGCTCACAATAGCAAGCTTGTTATGGATGATAACAATGGTGAAGGGGGTGATGATATAGATGGGGATATTGATGGTGATAATGGTAATGTGATGGTGTTGATGATGCTGCTACTACTGATGGTAATGACAATGGTGATGCCAAAAATAGTGATGGTGATATTCATGATGCTGGTGAGGGTAGAGGGTACATTTGCCATATTCTGAGATTGAGAAATTGTTTCTATATAGAACCAAATCAGGAGATCTGATTTTTGCATATGAATACCCTCCTCTCCGATTGCAGTGTGGTATCATGGGAAAACAACAACCACACTAGATTTGGAGCTGGAAGACCTGAGTTTGAATTCCAGTTCTATCACTTCACTTCCTGTGTTATCTTGAGAAAGTCAGTTACCCACTCTGGGCCTTAATTTCCCCACTTGTAATATAAGAGAATTGGACCAGATAATCTCAAAGGCTCCTTCCAGCTCTATATCCTAGGCTCCTATAGTCCTTCAGGTTCTTCCTCCTCCTCTTTCTAATGTAATAGCTTCCCTTTGTCTTTGTCCTCGAGTCCCCCTCCAAAAGCTGACCAGGTATGATATGTGGGAGATGCCCCTGCACTTCAGTTTTAGTTCCAGTGGACTCTAACATGGAGTCCTGGTATATAAAGCAACCTCTTGTGTCCAGAGCACCAAAGGGGAACTGCATCAGGGAGCAAGGAGGATGGCTCTGAAACCTAGGAGGTATTTAGTCCTTCCCTCCCTCAATCAATAAGTGTTTATTGGGGGCCTATTGTACTAAAGGCACCTGTGGGGAGACAGACAGTCCCTGCTCTCATGGAACTCCTGGCTTGGTTGGAAAAGCAAGTCATCTATGCTTACATGAAAAGGCAAACATAATAAAGGCTGAAGGTCAGAGGAGGGAGAAATGATTATGCATTGAAGTAGTTAAGGAGGGGGTCAGACTTGAATTGGAGCTTAAAGAATGCCTAGAGTTTGGCTAGGCAGGGAAGAGGAGGTGGGGGGAGGGTATGCCCAGTAGAGTAAAGGGTAAAGAGCAAAACTGGAAATTCCAATAAACCCAATGGGGGTGGGGGTGGGAGGTGCAAGTGCAGGTGAGTCAGCAAGGAGGCTAGTCCAGAACAGCAGGAGTAAAGAACTGGGGAGGTGAGGCTGGACTGAAGGAAAAGGAAGCTGCTTCTTGGGGAACTGTTATATCCAGTCATTGGTGTGGAAACTTTGGGGTCTCTAAGCACAGAAGAATAGTTTGTATTGTAGGATTGGGAAAGTACGAAAACGATTTGAGCTTTTATGTTCCTTTGAGGCAATGTCAGTAATCATGTAAGGTATAAATGGCTTGAGTCATGTAAATATAAACATCGCTCACATGTGGCATCAAGAGTTATGATCAGATCTGATCCCGTCCCTTAATAAATAACAGTAATAGCTTAGATATCTACAGTGCTCTAGCTTTTACAAAACACTTCCCCTCACAACAACCCTGGAAAGGAGGAAGTATATGTATTATTATCCCCATTTTGCAGATGAGTAAACTAAGGCTCAGAGAACTCACTTCGGGGAGTTGTATAGCTAGTAATTGTCAGAGCTAGGGCTCAAACTCTGGTACTGGTGGTCTTCCATTTTGCCATATGCTATCTAAAGACAGGAAAAAAATGCCACTTAAAAGTGTTATTTGGTGCAAATAGCCACTTAGATCCCTCTGGATTATGTGCCTAGATTTTCTTCTCTTTGGAAGCAGTAGAGACTCTGGGGGTATGCCTGGCAGCTTTACTGTGGCTGTCCCTCCCTATGTGCCTGGCTTGGAGTCAGCCCCCTGTCACTACAGCCATTTATAAAGCAGACTTTCTCCGGGCTAGTCTTGGACGTGGGCAGTGATGAAGCCTGTTTGCTTGTGGCCAAAGGCTCATGCACACTCGTGTACACACAAGGCCTATATAGGTAAGGATGGCCTGATAACCATGTTCTTTTCTTTGTTCTCTTTTCAGGAGTAAAGTATAATGCTCAGCGCTACGGAAACGTAAGTTTTGCAGCTGCCAAGGGAAAGCAGCTAGGGCCTAAGCCATGAATTTCTCCTTTCCTCATCCACAGCTGCTCTGAGTCCCGCTAATAGAGGCTGTCAATCTTGGGTGGGTGGGGAACCCCAAGAAACTGCAGTAGATAAGAACTGGTGGGATCCTAGTGAGACTGCTCCACCTAGTGGCTCCCTATATAATTGCAATCACCAGCAGAGCCCACTCTAATACAGATACCGACAGGGTCCTGGGCAGGATAGAGTATCAGGACCCGCGGGCCCTCAGGTGGAGGTTCCCCTCAACCAGCCCACTTCCCCACATAAAAATCCAGCACACTGTCTCCTGTTAACTTACAAGCTTATTAGTATCATCAACAAGAAGCAAGATGTTAATCCAAGTCCTCGCATTAATAATCAAGATAAACATATGGAACTGTCATTTTCCTTTGGATGCTTCAGTTTCCCCATATGTAAAATGAAAATTGCCATTTCTTCCTGCTCCCAAAAGGAGACACAGACCTGAGGAAGAAGGGCAATTTGGCTTAGTGGGAAAGAGCATCAGTCTCATTCAGAAGGTCTACATTCAAACCCCAACTCTGCTTCTGAGTTCAGATGCTAGGTACATATTTGACCTTGGCTAGGTCACTTCAGTCAATCAAGCAATCAGCTAGCACTTACTGGGGGCCAGGAATTACAATAAGTGTTAGAGGTATAGAAAAAGGCAAGAACACAGTCGTTGCCCCTTAAGAGGCTTACATCCAAATGAGGGAAGCAACATGCAAAAAATTGTACATACAAGATGTATACAGAGTAAATGAAAGGTATTCTGAGAGGAAAGGCTGTAAGGGATGGGTGGGGCGGGAAGGGGCAGAGTTACCAAGAAAGGTCTCCTGCTGGACATGAGATTTGAGTTGAGTCCTGAAGGAAGGCAGGGAGGCCAGGAGGTAAGAAAAGTACGTATTCTAGGCATGGGGGACTACCACTAAGGCGGCATGGATTTTGGAGATGGAGTGGAGTGATGTGTTTGATAGGCAGCTGGGTGGCACAGTGGATAGAGCGCTGGACTTGGAGTCAGGAACTCCTGAGTTCAAAGCCATTCTCAGACATTTACTAGATGTGTGACCCTGGGCAAGTCACTCTGTCTACCTTACTTTCCTCCTCAGTAAAAGGAAGTAATAATAGTACCTATTTCCCAGGGTGCTTGTTAGGACAAAATGAAATAATATTTATAAAGTGCTTTAAATTTATATAGTATGTGTACATATAGTATATAAATATTAATTTGTAAGGGCCATATAAAGGCTAGCTATTATTATTTTTATGAATGGCAAAACCAGTGTAGCTAGAGTATATATGAAGGTGACTAAAGTTTATGTAAGAAGACTAGAAAGCTAGGAAAGAGCCAGGTTCATCCATAAAATGAGCAGGTTGGGCTAGATAATCTCTTAAGTATGTTATCAATTTAATATCCATGATCCTATAATTAATCATTCCCATTCCCATTCTGCTCTAAGCTTTCCAAAACTTTCCTCAAAACCATTTCATGAAATGGGTAGTACATGTGTCATTATCTTCTTTGACAGAGGAAACAGACTCATCCAGAGTCGCACAGCTAGTAAGGATCAGACCCTCGAACCCAAGCCCCCACCCTTAAGTCTAGCACTCTTTACCCTAGATACATGTGTCATGGGCTGAGGGTGCCAGGATGTTCTGTGATATGTATCTGTGAAGTCTTCCTGTGAACTCTTTCTACTTTATCCTCCTGCTCTGAAAGACTAATGAGGGTAAAGTAATGAACATGAGGCTTTTGTGGCTTCTCATCTTAGTAGGCAGGATGGTCCCTGTGGGGTGCTTTGTCATTGGGCACTAAGGACCAGTGTCCCTTTTAATGCCTTTTTTCTCTTCCTCCTCCCCCCAGGACTGTCCACCAGGGGGCAGCCAAGATGGGAGAGTGATAGGTCGTAAAGCAGGAGCCTTGGCAAAGGTCACTCCCCAGGGCTCCCCAGGCCCAGGGGCACGGAGCCAGGAGCAGCAGCTGAACGGCCTGGTGGTTCTGGTGAGAGACCAGGCAAAGCCTGGGCCAGAGGGTGGCCGAGTCCAGCCCCGGCAGCGCCGGAGAAGGCTTCTCATCAAGAAGACACCAATTGTCATTGCTCTGAACAGCTCTACCGTCACCCTGGCTCAGCTGGGCCCCCAGGACGCTGCAGCCCCTGAAGGCCACTGGCACCGTCTCTACCAGGTGCAGCGTGAGAGGAAGAAGATCATGAGGGACACATGTGCCAGATACAAGAGCAACAGTCGTAGGGTCATCACGCCCTACCACGTGTCCCGCATCTTTGTGGAGGACAAGTACCGAGTCCTGTACTGTGAGGTGCCAAAGGCCGGCTGCTCCAACTGGAAGCGGGTCCTCATGGTCCTCAGTGGGCTGGCCTCCTCCACCAGAGACATCCAGCACAACACTGTGCACTATGGCAACACCCTGAAGAGGCTGGATGGCTTCAACCGCCAGGGCATCTCCTACCGCCTCAACACCTACACCAAAATGCTGTTCATCCGGGAGCCCTTTGAGAGGCTGGTCTCTGCTTTCCGGGACAAATTTGAGCACCCTAACAGCTACTATCATCCTGTTTTTGGCAAGGCCATTCTTGCCAGGTATCGTGTGAATGCCACACGGGAGGCTCTAAGGACAGGCTCGGGGGTGAGGTTCTCTGAGTTCATCCAGTACCTGCTGGATGTGCACCGGCCCGTGGGCATGGACATTCACTGGGACCATGTAAATAGACTGTGCAGCCCTTGTCTCATTGACTATGATTTTGTGGGCAAGTTTGAGAGCATGGAGGAAGACGCCAACTTCTTCCTGCGCCTCATCGGTGCTCCCCAGAATCTGACCTTCCCCAGGTTCAAAGATAGGCACTCAAATGAGAGGACAACCACAAGGATCGCCCACCACTACTTTGCCCAGCTGTCTCCCCTGCAGAGACAGCGCACCTATGACTTCTACTACATGGATTACTTGATGTTCAATTACTCCAAGCCCTTTGATGACCTATACTGACAGCTGGGGTGGGAGGGCAGAGGGTCTGGGTGTTGGGACAGATTCAGGGGCAAAGTCTGAGTCGGATATAGGGCCCAATCTGGAAGGACAGTGTTTCCTTTATTCTGGGAGCTGGCATTCCCAGAAATCCTGCCCTTTCCCAGAAAGACATGTCCATCGAGACCATGCCCAAGACAGCAAGATTGTGGGGGGTCTGGCTCCCCTTAAGAAATCAGGGCCATGGCCGTCCTCCGCTGTGAGCTGAGGGATGGCCTCAGGAGAGGTTTGTGAGTAGGCATTTCAGGGAGCCATGCAGGGCAGGGAGCTTAGCCCTTGCATTTGCGTAATGCCTCCTCCATTCTAAGGCTATAAAGGAAGCCCCCAGAATGCATTTAGGGTTTGGGGTAGTAAAGGCTCAGTCCCTTGGTGTCTCAACCAGGAAAGCCAAGAAGCCATGAGCTAGAGAGGTCTGAGGCCAGCGAAACTGGAGGCTGAGAGGGGAAGGAATTCTCAGACCCCATATTCCTCTTTGCTTTGGCTCTGCAGGCAGAGATCCCTGTGGAATTGGATTTCCCAATAAAGCACATGTTTTCTGAGGAGTGGTTTTTGTCCAGCCTTTCCCTCTACCCCAGATAGTCTTTCTACTTCAGGCCTCTCAGATCTCACTTTTCTGGTGGGGCCTATCCCAAACTCAAACTCCTACCCCAGCCCATTAGTATTTGTATGATACTGGGGCACTAGGTCAGGCTGAGGTATCTCGTACTTGGCATTGGGTCTCCTGCCTCCTAATTTACCTGGTGGCACATACATACACATGCATCCCAAGTCACCATCCCAATCCACGAAGCTCCTTTTCATCCTTTGCAAACACTTGGTTCCTTAGATCTGTGCGAGGCCCATCATTTCCTCAGACAAAGATGGTCGGTCCAGCTGAGTGGACAGAGGTTTACCAGTGTGAGCTGGAGTTCAGGGTTGTGGCTGCTGTGAGGGTATAACTGTGTCACTGTGGAATGGTGTGGCTGTGTGCACTCCTGTGAGGGTACCACTGTAAGGCTGTCATGGTGTTGCTGCATGTCACTAGGTATATTGCTTAAGGTTGTGAGTGTTGCCCTGCAGAATGAGCACCATGTGCCTGTCACTGAGCCACTGACGTAGACCTGGTCATAGCTTATTTGCTTTACAGGTCGTTGTTGGGCTTTCTAAGCCAGTTTTGATGAGCTTATCCCCAAACCACCTGAGACATAATCCCTGAAGCATTGACCCTCCCATCCTCCCCCTGTCACCAGGTCTTATCCACATGCATAAGCACCATCCATCACACAAAATACCCCCTACACATCAGTACCCACAGTACCAATAACTACCCGCATGTCAAGTGCTATACAAGTACCATCAACAACACACCAAACCCCCACTAAACATGAGCACACCCCAAAACACTGCCTATTTCAGAAAATTCTCCTCAACCATTCGGACACAAAAGCACTGTTAGTCTCACAGAAAACAGTTCATAACCATCTAGACACAACAAAAGGCTCCTGAAGACAGCCCATGCAATGGGCAGCTTTCAATCAAACATCACCACTCAGCTTTCAGAGATAACCTCCTTTCCTGGGCAGTTAAAATGAATAGTCCTGAGATTTGAAGGTTCAGCCTAAAGAATGGGAACAAGGGAGTTTTGAGAAACTAGACCCTAGAGCTGAGGCAAGAGGCTTCACCTACCCCCTCAACAGCCACACACCCCAGGAGTCACTCATCCACAGACTCACTTAGCACAGTGCCTGCTATGTAGAATGCACTTAAGAAATGCTTATCGACTGAATGACCAGCTTGACAGAGCATCACACCTGCAGGGGCTTCTGGGGGAGGGGGAGGAGGAGGGAAGATAGCTGTGCTGATAGCAGGAGAGGGAAGGGGAGGAGAGAAGAGAGTAAGGAAAAGGGTAGACTACCTGGGATGGAGACCAAATTATGCTGGAGTTCAAAATATGTGGAGATACAAGGTCAGGCCAAGCTCTGATCAGTGCTTATTCCTATTCTTATTAATAATATTCATGACCAGTAACTTATTTATACACGGACTAGAGAAAATGGCGGAAGAAAGGGGAAATGAGGAGGGAAGGTGGAGATACATCATGAGCAGAGGGTATGATTATAGGATGGTAAGTACAGACCTAGAGGACACCAAGTGGTTTCGGAGGACCAGTCTCAGTTTGTTCTCAGATGACAACTACGGGAGTGGGGAATCCTATTCCATAAGATCAACCTCCAAACCGTCTGCTGAGGGCAAATGTCTAGAACCCCATCCTCTGCAAGAAACTCTGATTGGAAACTTGGCCTCCAACTTAACCCTGGCCTGAACCCTAGAATAATTCTAACCTTCAACCTGACTAACCCTAACCTGAACATCAACTTCAACTTTAGCTAGCCAAGCAACCAGGCAAGTAGAGGAACACAGCTGACGATCAGCAAGGAGATGTAAGGGTGGGTATGTCTAATTAGATAATTGGACTTCTTCCTTATGGATTGGCTTCTGTTTGCTTCTCAGAATTTGGGCATGGCAGTAGTGTGGTAATTGCCAATGAATGGCAGCTGAACAGATAGGCTCTCCCTTTTTAGAAAGAAGGAAGTCAGCCCTAAGTAAATTAAACTTCTATCAGGAGTCCAACGTGACTGAACCACCAGGGTAGCAAACAAGCATAACAATTAAGCCCCAGGGTTAGTCAAAAGAGCTACCAAAAAGAAGTCAGAAGACTTCAAGAAGGTATAGAAGGTAAGAATTTTTCAGGAACCTGAAGAAAATGTATTTATGTTTCTAGTAGCACCAAGTGACAGCTAAGCAGGCACATAGTACAAACTGATCTCTTTCCCAGAGAAGATGGTGAAAGGGCTGAAAAAACACATCTCTCCTCTCTAAGTTATCAGGGACAATGAAGTGTTCCTTAAAAGAACAGATGAAGTGCTTCAAGGAGGAAACTAGGAAGAAAAAAACACAGGAGGAAGCTGAGGGGAATTCTAACGAGTATCAGGAGGTCAGAGATTGGAATAGCATGACAGAGAAGGGAGGAAAGAACACCTGAACCTTTGGAGCTCAGTAACAGGTGTAAGGCTCTTTTGGTGAAGGATGGAAATGGATCTTCTCAGGAGGAAGTTACTACTTTGGCTGCAAGGAACGATGGCATCAATCCACATGCGCCATTGGGTGAGAGGGCATCCAATGATGGTCAAAGAAAGAATAGATGAGCACCCTTACCAAAGGCCACTGAGGAAGCTATTTGTTGACCTGATATGAACAATAGAGGAGTCTGTTGTCCTCCTGGGGTGTGTATCCAGAAAGTGATGGGTTGCCTCCTGAGATCTATCAAACCTGACAACCACAAGCCAGTCCTGATGATTTACATGGGGTTCAGTGATATCACCAGAAGTAATCTAGAGAGTATGGCTAAGGATTGTGAAGTCTCAGATAAGAAATTGAAGATTTTAGGGCAAGAGTTCTTAACCATTTTGGTGTCATGGGCCCCTTTGACAATCTGGTAAAGCCTATGGACTTCTCAGAATAATCTTTTTAATGACTAAAATAAGATGTGTAGGGTTACAAAAGTAACCAATTTTTACGGAAATGCTGTTATCAATATTTAAAAAAAACAAGTTCAGGGACCCCAAGTTGAGGATCCCTATTTAAAGGCACAAAAGGGTTTTTCAACAAAGCAGTTACTGCCAAGTGAAGATCAGGGATTCAGAAAGGAAAGGAGTACTTGGAAAATGAACAGCTGGCTAAAAAGATGATGTATGAGAATGAGATACAGATTTCTTGGACCACATATTAAAATATGGGAGTGATAAGTTTCTGGCCAAGGATGGAATACTCTGAAAAAGGGCTAGTAAAAGCATATTTTCCTAGCATTTTACAGATCTGATGAGAAGGGCTTTAAGATAAAAGGGGATTGGTAAAGAGGAAACTGACCACAAAGAACTGCCAAACCTAATATTGAAAAGAGTGGCAGATAACACCATGAAAAGTAAAATAGATGAAAGGACCTAATTCCTAGAAGCCAATATCCAAAAAGAGAGACACTGATAAGACCTATTGCCTCACATGTCTACATTCAAATGCATTGCATCTGGAAGGATACACCTTATTTAAGGGAATAATGTATGAATTAAATGACTGGCTGGTGAAGTCTCATTGTAAATTAAGAAGATAGCCTCAGGCGAGGAAATTCAGGAACCCAAGGTAGGGAAGGGAGAACATGGTGGAGAGTCTGTATGGATGAAAAGAAGGAGAAAGAAAAATGATATTGTCATGATGATATGCCACAAGCCACCTGGACAGAAGAAATTAGACAAGGCAGGGCAGCTAGGTGGCACAGTGGATAGAGCACCAGCCTTGAAGTCAGGAGGACCTGAGTTCAAATCCGGCCTCAGGCCAAACACTTGACACTTACTAGCTGTGTGACCCTGGGCAAGTCACTTAACCCCAATTGCCTAAAAGAAAAAAGAAATTAGACAAGGTAGTAGATCAGTAAACTAGTATCAAGAGGTGACATTGCAGGGATTCAGGATTATAATGATCTAAATATCTACTGATGCTCAAAAGTCACTTAAAAGTAGAGTAGATTAAAAAAAAAGTAGAGTAGGTGAGAAATGTGACTTTTGCCTTACTGATAATCTCATTCTTTAAGGGTAGAGGAAGCAACAAAAGGAACCATTAATATGGACTTGGGTCTGGCTAACAAATATGAATTGTTACTATAAGGCAAGAAGTGAAGCAGGTGGGAGACATAAGGTCACCAAAAGTGTTTGCAGTTGTCATGGAGAATGTGAGAGTGGAATGAATACTGAACTTGGAATTGGGGCCTGACTTTGAATCCTGACTTTACTGCTTATTACCTGCTTACCAGTGTTACCTTAGGCAAGTCACTTCTCTGGGCCTTAATTACTTCATCTATAAAAGGAGGCAGTTAGACTCAATGGCCTCTAAGGTCCTTCCTAGCTCTAAATGTGGGATCCTATAATCTCACATCTTGGGCAAAAAATCAAATGGAAAAGGGGCAAATGCTCCTATTTGCAGAAGCTATTGGTGTCAATCCCATTAATCCCCCATATAATGCAGAGTCTCCTAGTTGAGATCCATAATCACTAAAAAGAAAGAGTTCAGTCAAATTACCCACATAGGAAAAAATAAGAGGATGAAGAGCGCTTCTTGTCTAGACTCTGATATGCCGTTAGATGGACCACATCCAGCTGGTCATTGGCAGCTGAAGTGATCACTAAGCCAAAAGCGAAGGGAATTTGGGGGGTTAGTTCATAATAGAGGAGAGAAGAGCCAGGAATAGTCTGACATAAACTCAAGATTGGAGGAAAATGAATTTTGAAGAGTTCAAAGAAAAGCTAGGTAGGACCCAATGGACTAATATTCTGCAGAAATCAGGCCAGGAGGATTGGAAAGCACTTTAAAAATGAAATTCTGAAGACACAAGCATGACTGATTCTGATAAGAGGAGAATAGAAAGTTGTCTAAGGAGATTAATGTGACTGCACAAAGAACTCATTGAACAACTCAGATTTTTTAAAAATACATGTTTGATAAATGGAAACAA